CTCCCAGAATTCCCCAGCCAGCATGCTTTAAGATGGGTGGGCTTCAACTCCCAGAATTCCCTAGTCAGCCTGCTTTATGAGGGGTGGATTTCAACTCCCAGAATTCCCCAGTCAGCATGCTTTAAGATGGGTGGACTTCAACTCCCAGAATTCCCTGGTCAGCCTGCTTTAAGATGGGTGGGCTTCAACTCCCAGAATTCCGTAGTCAGCCTGCTTTATGAGGGGTGGATTTCAACTCCCAGAATTCCCCAGCCACCCAGCTTTAAGATGGGTGGACTTCAACTCCCAGAATTCCCCAGTCAGCATGCTTTAAGATGGGTGGACTTCAATTCCCAGAATTCCCCAGTCAGCATCCTTTAAGATGGCTGAATTTCCACTCCCAGAATTCCCCAGTCAGCATGCTTTAAGATGGGTGGACTTCAACTCCCAGAATTCCCCAGCCAGAATGCTTTATGAAGGGTAGATTTCCACTCCCAGAATTCCCCAACCAGAATGCTTTAAGATGGGTGGACTTCAACTCCCAGAATTCCCTAGCCAGCCATGGGAATTGAACTCCATGAATCTTAAACTTGACAAGATTGGGCATCCCTGATCTAGATCTTCTATATTTCATCTGAAGTACCAGAATCCTTCTGTGCCATTTCCAAAGGGATAATAACCTCTTCCACACCATCACCCAAGTCATTGACGCAAATGTTGAATTACACAGGACCCAGGTCCTCTTCTCAAGGCTTCCCTCCTCTCTAAAATGACCACCTCCCCAGGTGCAAAACAGATAGCCCACTGGGCATTCCTCACTAGTATGATTTATATTTTAGCATTTTATGCAAGAGATTATCATGAGATAAAGGTTTGGAGTTTTGATGAGATCCCGGTAAACTATGTCTACAGCATTCCCCCTATCTACTAAGGGAAAAATTCTACCAAAGTTGGTGAAATTAGTCTTGCATGATTTGCTTATAATTTGCTTATAGCCTGGAGAAGGGCTTCTGAACATGTTATTTAAATAAAAGACATCAATGCAACTTGATCAGAACTTTGGAAACATATTCTTAGTTTGGATTGATACCGTTATTAGTTTAAGTTTTTTAACCCTTCTTTTTTTCCAGGAGTTCAATAAAGGCAGGCCTAGACTTAACAACAGTTTGTTTAGTGACTGTTCAAAGTTACAATGGCACTGAAAAAGGTGACTTATGACCGCTTTTCGCACTTACAACCGTTGCAGCATCCCTGTGATCACGTGATCAAAATTTGGACACTTGGCAACTCACTCATATTTATGACAGTTGTAGTGTCCTGGGGTCACGTGATCCCCTTTTGCGACCTTCTGACCAGCAAAGTCAATGGGGAAGCCAGATTCACTTAACAACCGGGTTACTAAATTAACAACGGCAGTGATTCACTTAGCAACGGTGGCAAGAAACGGGACAAAACTCCCTTAACAAATGTCTCACTTAACAACAGAAATTTTGAGCTCGATGGTGGTTGTAAGTCGAGGACTACCTTTAGGTATTCTCCTTTTTTTGAGAGAGAGAGAGTTCAGTTGGACTTACAGAAAGGGTCTAACTCAAAGTCACCCCATTCCCTTTACCAAAAGCATCCATTTGTTTAAAGACTATTTACCTCGCCCTTTAGAGGCCTGTAGTAACCAGTGGCTGTGAAGACCAGCATGTAAATCAGATGGAGGAATAAACTGATGAAAAACCTTTTTCTAATGAAGGATTCCCACTTGTGCTGAAGTAGCTTGTTCAGAGGCTCCAGGACCACCATTTTGTACCGGTTCTGTGGAAGGGAGAATGTCAGGGAATTGAGCAGCTGTTGGTGTACAAAATGGAGTGGGAGATGCTGACACAAACTTGTAGTTTTATATAAATAAATATGTTTTACATCTACATAGATGCAGCAAACTAGATAGTCTGGCAAACAGAGGCATCGTGTGGTAAATCAACACAACAGGAACATCATGAGGTAAATCAACACAATAGGGGCATCATGAGATAAAGCAACACAACAGGAACATCATGAGGTAAATCAACAAACAGGGGCATCATGAAGTAAATCAACACAACAGGAACATCATGAGATAAAACATAGCAGGAGCATCATGAGGTAAATCACAGAGCACAAAAGGACACTCAGAAGAAAAAGGTGGGAAAAAAGGGAACCTCCCCCTCCACACCCACAGGAACCAATCACAGCACAGATTGCCTCACATAGCACTCTCCAACAAATCAATTACAAGATGCAAATATTTCTTTTAACTAAGACAGTTGTTCTCCGTTGATAACAGAAGAATAGGAAGTAATCTGAGATCTATTAGCTTATTACTTTTGAAGATGTGTGTATCCATCATTTTCCTCTCTTTTTCAAAATGTATCAACATGAGTGCATCTCTTTGCCTCAGGGGTATGTCTCCCACTATTCTTTTGGAAGGGATCCTCTCCGGTTTCTAAACTGTCAGGGAATTGCTCAGCCGGTGTCCAAATGAAGTCAGAGACACTGACACATACTTGTAGCTTTATATAAATAAATATATTTTACATATACATATACAGCAAACAAGATAGTCAGGCAAACAGGAGCATCGTGAGGTAAATCACAGAGCACCCAGAACAAAAAGGCGGGAAAAAAGGGAACCTTCCCCTCCACACTCACAATAACCAATCACAGCGCAGATTGCCTCACACAGGAGCCAGCACCCTCCAATCAATCAACCACAACTGTGTGTTTTGGCTCACTGTACAATCCCACTGCTCCAGCTGCTAAATTTAAATAACTTAACAGAGAAGGAAGGGAGATTCAAAGCACACCTTCTCAGTTAGTACCATAGTCTTCAGTCCCCATTAGACCAGGAGTCTCCAAAGTGGTCGGAACTGAACCCCAGTTTGGAGACGCTTATGTTGTGTTGTGTTGCTGAAGTGTTTGGAGATACTCTCTAGATACAACCCCTATAATTTCAGCCCAGACCAGTATGGGGAAAGCATTGAATTTATCTAAACCCCCACATATAGAAACTGGATGAAAATAACACTGTCCTTTATTCCCAAAGCAGTTTAAAGAAAATAGAATAAAGCACCTTATAAATTCTAAAAAAATTATCCTGAGCCAACTTTTTCAGAAAGGGTTTTGCCCAGAAGAAGGAAAGAAGAATGGATAGATGGAAGGAAGGAAGGCAAAAAAGAAAGGAAGGAGAAAAAGAGGAAGGGAGGGAGGGAAGGAAGGAGAGAAGGAAGGAAGGAAGGAAGGAAGGAAGGAAGGAAGGAAGGAAGGCAAAAAAGAGAAAGGAAGGAGAAAAAGAGGAAGGGAGGGAGGGAAGAAGGAAGGAAGGAAGGGAAGGAAGGGAAGAAAGAAGGCAAAAAAGAGAAAGGAAGGAGAAAAAGAGGGGGAAGAAGGAAGGAAGGAAGGAAAGAGGAAGGAAGAGGAGAGGAGAAGAAGGAGGAAAAGGACAGAGAAGATCCCGAGAAGGACCATTCCTGGCTGGATCTACTCACTGGAGTGTTACTGCTGTAGGCCAGGATCTCCAGCACTGAGTTCTCCTCACAGGTGTCGATGGAGGTCAGATCGTAGAGGGAGATGTGGATGGGACCATAAGTCCACTCGGTGAACTTGCGTGAAAGGTGCTGGAACTTGGGATCCTTGATCTCCCGGTGGAGAATGTGCTTGAGGATCTGGGGAGACCAAAACACTTGAGTTGGTGACAGGGCTGTCTCTAGGGCTCAGGTCAAAATGATCTCAGTATCCAGCCATCATCTTGGCAATTTTGACCTTCCTGAAGTCACCTCTGATAACTAATCTACAGAATCAAAAAAACTTCTCCTCAAACACAATTCTCTTTGGAATTTATCCTCTTGCACCTGACTAGGTCCACCACTCCTTTTTTCTACTCTTATCTCCAAGATCAAGAAAAGGTGAGAACGCACCCTGAGGTCAAGGTAACACACCACAACATAGTCCAGTGGTGGCGAACCTATGGCACAGGTGCCAGAGGCGGCACTCAGAGCCCTCTCTGTGGGCCCGTGCGCCGTCGCCCCAGTCCTGGGCCTTCAGCTGGGTTTTATAAAACCTTTTCGCTTTAGGCCTCTGCCGCCATGTGCAAAAAAAAAAAAAAGATTCAATCAATCAGTTAATTTCAACTTCTCGCAGGGAAAAAAGATCTTGCAAAGTTGGAATTGATTGATTGAACTTTTTAGTCCCACCCAGTCTGCTGTTACCACTGCAGCCACGCCCAGCCAATGGGCCACACCCACCCAATGGGCCATGCCCACCCAATGGGCCACGCCCACCCGGCACCCGACGATGCATAAGTGGGTTTTGGGTTGCAGTTTGGGTACTCGGTCTCTAAAAGGTTCGCCATCACTGACATAGTCAGACAAATAATATGGTGAAGTACAGTTAGTCATCGACTCACAATCACAATTGAGCCCCCAATTTTCCGTTGCTAAGCAAGACAGTTGTTAAGTGAGTTTTGCCTCATTTTAAGAACATTCTTGCCACCGTTGTTAAGTGAATCACTGCACTGGTTAAGTTAGTCACACACTTGTTAAGTGAATTTGGCTTCCCCATTGACTTTGCTTGTCAGAAGGTCACCGTATTGATCGCATAACCCCAGAACACTGCAACCGTCATAAATACAAGTCAGTTGCCAAGTGCCTAAATTTTGATAACGTGACCAAAGGGCTGCTGCAATGGTCGTAAGTATGAAAAAAACGATCATCAGTCTCTTTTTTCAGTGCCATTGTAACTTCGAACGGCCACTAAACGAATATGCGTAAGTCGTGGACTACCTATCCTGGCAAGGAGGGGGACTACCTCGACTTTCCCAGTCTTCACGGCCAGCTTCAAAGGGGTCAGCTGCTTCCGGTTGACAATCTCTTCCAACTTGCAGGAAGGGTCGATTTCGTCCCCTTTCATGAGGATCTTGTCGTACATGTTGACCACGAGCTCGGTGTTCTTCTCCGTATTGTTGGCCACCATCACCAGCGCATGGAGGGCAGTGTTGCCTATGGAGTCCTGTTCGTTCAGTCTGGCGTTCTGGTGAGGGTTATCCAGGAGATACATGACGACCTCTGGCTGGTTGGTGCAAGCAGCCAAGGACAGAGGAAGTTCACCTGGGAGAGAGAGAACGATGGGCCAAGGTTGCAATGAGCATCAGGGACGTCCAACCTTGGGTAGTTGGAGACATGGCTAGCTGGGGAATTCTGGGAGTTGATGTCCACAGGTCTTCCGGTGCCCAAGGTTGGACATCCCTGATCTACAGTCAGTGGTGGGATTCAAATATGTGAACAATCGGTTCTCTGTGTGGATGCTGCTTCCGGATGTCCATTCTGGGCCTGGGCAACAAAGAATTAGCTACCGGTTCTGCCGAAGTGGTGCGAACTGGCTGAAATCCACCACTGTCTACAGCAGGGATGTCAAACTCAATTTCATAGAGGGCTGCATCAGCATTGCG